TGGCCGAAGCGATGTTCAGCGTTGTGGAGCCGCTGCCGGCCAATTCAACGAGTCGTTGCCAACCACTTGGTGTTGGTGTGATGGGACCTCTCAAGGCCATGCTGAAGACCGAGTGGCTATTGGAGGAAGACAATCGTGAGGGGAACGAGGACTTTACTGCCCAAGAAAAGCGACTGGCAATGGTAAAAAGAACAATTCGCGTCTGGGAGAAAATATCTTCTGAAATGGTGGTGAAATCATTTGAAAAAGCGATCCCCAAAATTTTTGAATTTTAATAGACTTTTTTTTCTATTTTTGCAGAATTTTTATTTTTGGGGAAAAACTTGGCACTCCCCGGGACTTGAACCCGGCCATCCTCCACCGCCTCATCATCTAACCGATTTGCTACGCGCCAAGGCCTTGGCTTGAATCCCTGTGCATCAAACCAGTCAAAAACCTTCAATACTTGATGTTGAATATTGGTTTTGCAAGTTCGAAGCAAGTGAAATCACTGGTCAAATCGTTAAGAAATTTAGCCAATCAGACACTGATCACACAAATTTGAAGCTACGATTTTTATTAAAATTTTCCTGCAAGCAAATCACCTATCCATACAAAATGCAAGTCAACGTATATAGTGGCACTGTCCCGATTTTACCGCAAAGCACTGTAACGTGACGGATCCTTGATCAGCCGAAATTGACCTGCATTCATCCGACCATAATCTCGTGAACTTCAAATGGCCACAACGTAAAAATTGCTGCGTCGCTCTTTACAAGCTTTATCCCATCATCCAAATAAGGACTTAATTTAATAGTTTAAATTTGTGCAATAAATATGTCAGGTTTCGAGCTGTAAACAGGCGATCGATGTTCAGCCGAATTTTACACTTGTTTAAAGTATGTCATTTTTTCGGCTTTTGAGAAGTGAAATTATAAATTTACAGAGATATATTACATGTATACAGTAATAATATTTTACAGGTAGTACTTCTTTTATTGGATGCTTAAGGAAGTATGCCAAGCCATTGGCGCATAGCAAATCGGTTAGACGATGAGGCAGTGGTGGATGGGCCCCGTCACGTGGATTCTAGCCATGGAGCGCCGTCGCGCTCCATGACGAGGTCGGTTTCGTACAGCGGTGGTAGCATTGGCTGCCGTCCCATCGTGTTGGGAGTTGTGTTAGCGCTAATGGCATTTGCCAAGTGTGTGCGAAGCGTTCGCTGTGGCACGGAATACAATGTGGCCGCAGAAGGAATTGTGTGATCCTTGGAGACTACGTTGGCTACGGCATTAGCCAAGTCCTCTGGTGTGTACGACGTTCTTGGCGGCATTTTGATTTGAAAACCGGTGAGCCCCCCTCAAAATTTCTACTATTTCCCACCATAAGCTTTTGAAGGTGTAAGTTGTTGCAGGCTTTCATTTTATCCAATCATATCGATTCTGAATTTGTATTGGGTAATTCAGCTCGGCTAATCATAGATCGTCGGCTGATCTTATAGGATCCGTCACGTTAAAGGGTTTTGATCGTTCTGAAACCGTCTCGAAAGTGTGAGGAACCTGATGATCTGCTTGTCCTTCGTCGGAACTTTAAGCCCTATGCATAAGCCAATAATTCAAACGAAGAAGGTGCATACTAGTATGTACAACTAATACAGAGCGTAGAATACAGTCGTAAAATGACTCCACGCAAGGTCAGATTGAACATCAGTACCCATTGACAGAACTCACAGTCAAGGCAAGCATGTCGTCCAACGGAGGCGCCTCCACGTACGAGGTTGACGACAAAACACTCATTCGGCGTCGGTACTTCCGTGAGAAGCAGCGGGAGTATCGCCGCAAGATTTATGATGACGGGGCGAGTATCAAAGCACAGTGCGTGCACCTTCAATCGATCATTGCCGGTCTTCAAACAGCCAAGCCGCTGTCGGTCGCACCACGTGAAGCAAACGATGGTCCGTTGTCCTGGCATTCCATTGCCATGGTGTTCAAAAGAGAAGCCCATCGTGTCTTGACGGACCGCCAGTCACTGAGAGCGGCACAAGAGATTTTTGATTGGTGAAAAATTGATCGCGTAATAGAATTGAAACCAACCGGCCTTTTTGTACGGAAATATATGGAGTCACCCTGGCTCCCTGGCTAAGCCACGCCAAAAAGGAGCATCAAGTATATCTTGGTCTTTGTAAACAGCACTTATCCATACGAACGTTTCCATTGCATCCGGATTATTCAGGATGTTTAACCTAATTATTACCACGTAGTAAAAAACAAGCTAATAATGATTTAACGTCAACATTGCGTGGGTTTAACTGAAAGAACCGAGGCGTTTAATAGTAAAACGTGTCCTCCTGTGGATGACCGATCTACACTGTACCAGGTGTATTCTGCTCTTAGCGACGGAGAGGGTACTGGAAGGTACTACGTAGAATTATAGTAGTTTTAGGGCGCAAGTTAACTGTAAATTCCAATGACCTGGGACATCTGTCCAAGAATAGATGCATATGTACGATAAATACAGTAGACATCGTAAGATGTCTGTCTCTACACGAAGGTCAGGTTGAAGATCAGTACCCATCGGCAAGCATGTCCTCGAAAGGAGGTGCCTCCATGTACGAGAATGCCGACAAAATTCCCCCTCGGCGTCAGTACTTTCGAGAGAAGCAGCGCGAGTATCGCCGCAAGATGATTGCTGACGGGGCCGCTTTGAAAGCACAGTGCGTGCACCTTCAGTCGATCCTTGTCCGTCTTCAAACAGCCAAGCCGCCGTCCATGGTGCCACGTGAAGCAAGCGATGGTCCGTTGTCCTGGCATTCCATTGCCATGGTGTTCAAAAGAGAAGCCCATCGTGTCTTGACGGACCGCCAGTCACTGATTACTCAAACGCAAGAGTTACAATCCCTCACGAAGGCCATGCAACGCTTTGTCGTGACGAACATTCAGGTGCGTTTTCACATTTCCATAGAGGCAGGCGAATGAGATCGTTGCATATGTGTATGTAGCCGCCCATGTCCCGCAGCAATGCGTGGCAGAATGCAACACTGGCGGCCGACCCGACGGCTCGAAACCTCGGCAAGGAGTGGCTCACGCAGCATATGTACCACAACATACACGAGCCGTTAGCGTTTCTTCCAGCAGTGAGCTATGGCGACGAGTATTTCGATGTCGACGCGCAAATGTCAAACGACGATAACCCGTTCGCGTGCATTGAAAGGGCGCAGTTCACATGGCCAGGCACGGTGCAAATGTTTCGACGCCTAATGGAGAGTAACATTCAGGCGGTGACCTTCTACAATCCCCTCAAAGCGGCAAGTGCTTAGCCAGACGAATGGAGGGTCAACCTGACCTTTGTGTTTGATTAGGTGGTGGAAGAGATCACAGCCAACACGCGCCTGTTTCACACGACCACATCCAAAGGCGTCTTCGTGAACTCACTCCGAGGCCACTTCTCCGAAGCCAACCGGTTCGTCATGGTCATTCGGGAAGTTGAAGAGGACGAAGTTTATGTGTGTGACCCCCAGCACAAACAGCGGCACTTCATGTCGTGGTGGGTATATAGTTTGGGGGTTGTTCGGGACGGTGGGCTCAGCTTTTTCGTTGCGTGTAGGACCGAGGTGCGGCAGATATCGCCAACACACATCTTACTGCGCTTAGTCACCCATGCGTCTCACTTATTTCGAGCCAACGGCAGGTTTGTGAGTGTGGACGAGCTCGCGGCGACGAGGGGCATTAACCTGACGGGTATCGACGACGGCGACAAGGACGCGTTCGTGCGGCGCGAACTGATCCGACGGGGGCGTGCGGATTTCGTGCCATGGCGGAAACGTTTAATGGACACGATGCACCAGAGCGCGACAAACTATTTGTAGAACACTATTTGTAGAACGCATTTTACCGCGCGGAAGGCATGTAACTCGACTACGCGATTTGTAGGGGACAATGGGGACGAATCAAACTGTAATATAAATCTAAAAAATTCCATAAATACATGGTGAAACGACTGGTAAACACACAATCATGTGAGTTTAATTTCGCACCTCTCGCATTTTGCAATTGGCCTGCATTAGGAAAAGTTATGCAAAAAACACACGCACACTCCTCCGGAATAGCTCTTGGTGGTCAAATGCCACCAGTACTTCATGGAATCCAAGGAAAAAAACCCAGCCGGAAATCGACCCAAAGTTAGCACCAGCGTCAGCGAATGTCTTGGGTTCAGCCAGACAACCATTGGACGCGTCATTGCCGAGTTGTGTTTTTGCTTGGGAATAATCTGGTGAAGAATATGATAACTATAAACTCATCAGTTTAATTGTATTACTATTAATAGTAATCAATCTCAAAGGGACCGATAAATCGTGGAACCAACTTGGGATGCTCGGACTTGTCGAGCATCTGGGCATGCTTTAAAGGCTGGTTGCGAGTCGCTAGTAGTACTTGATCGTCTTCCTTGAAGGTCACGTTCGAACGGCGCTTGTCATAATACTCCTTCTGACGTTTTTGGACCTTCGTCAAATTCTCGTTATCCATTTGAATGATTTCCTTTCGATGTTCTACAAAATTTATTGGGCAAGGAGCTGCTCACAGCAGGGTTGCGCAACTTGCGGCCTATGTCGACTTCGAACGGCGTCACCCCGGTTGATGCTTGGACTAAGCCTTGGTGGGCATACTCGATCGTTGGCAAATGGTCGAACCAGTCTTGTCCTAGATACGACACTGGGCATCTGAGCGCATATTCGAGAGTTCGATTCTGGCGCTCAGTCGCTCCATCGGCTTGAGCTCTGCTGGCGGTGGTCATGTCTTGGCGGATACCCATAATCTCCACGAGGGACTTCCCAAAACGTGCTTGTAAACTTGGGGTCACGGTCACTGATGATCATTGCTGGTAGTCCATGGTTGCGGACAACATGTTCGAAGAATTCCTTCGCCGTTTGGGGTGCATCGACATCTGATCTCGTAGGTACTACTTTGGGTGCTTGGATAGCTTGTCTAACCTTTTGACACGGGCAAACCGGTGATCCAATCTGCTGAAAGAGTTTGCTAACACTCTTCCGGTGCGGGAATGGGAATCATCTTGCCATTTGCACGCAGACTGCTCATCTTGTATCGGCTGCATGTTTCATAATAACTTCACGTCTTCGGTAAGAGTGTTCCAGTAATACCACTGCGCTACACTTAACATTGTACGTCGAGTTCCAGGGTGCGCGGAACAAAGCGTTCCTTGGTTTTGGTGTCCATCTCGTTGGTGCTAAAGGACACTTGCTTCGAGTGGTTCACCGTTAGGCGTTGAGGCACTAACACTCCTTTTTGCTCCTCCAACTTTTCCCCTCAAAAAGGAGAGTCGACAATGATGGCGATGTCACGAGTCGTGTAGGTGGAGAGAGCATGAGCAACAAGTCGATTGATGCGCGCTGCGACTGAGGCACAGTGGATACACGCGTGGATGGAGAGCTGGTGAACGGTGGAGGTAGCCTGTGGAGGCCGAGACAAGGCATCAGCTACCACATTTAACTTGCCTGGACGATGATGGAGGGCAAAGTCGAAACAACTGAAAAAACAAGCCAACGCGTCAACTTGGGCGTTAGGACCGGCGTTGTCATGAACCACTTGTAGCAGGAGTTGTCGGTGTATACAGGATTGTCATGCAGGTAATGGCGCCACTTGCCCAGAGCCAACTTAATGGCGTACAATTCTTTTTCGTGCGCGGGCCAATTCTGTTCGTGAGGACCGAGGCGCTTGGACATGAAAGCAACGGGCCGTCGCCATCGAGCTGGGAAATGACTACACCACAACAGAAACCAGAGGCGTTGGTGGTAACCACAAAAGGCTTGTTGTAGTCAGGCAATTGCAAAACAGTGGCTTGCTGCAACGCGAACGTGATTGTCAAAAACGCTCGACGCTCGTCCTCGCTCTAGTGCCACTTGGCTCCTTTCTTCAGCAATCCACTAAGGGGACGGACGAGCTCCGCGAAGTCGGGGATGAACTTACGGTAGTAACTGGCAAGACCGACAAAACTCATGACGTCTTTGCTCGACGGAGGCTCCAGCAGTCGATAGCACGGACTTTGGACTGGTCCACGGGGAGGCCATCTTTCGAAATGGTGTGACCCAAAAAGTTTGTGACAGAGTCGACACCAAACGAACACTTGGAAGGACGCCGTATAGCTACTCGGTGAGAAGGACAGTGCAAATTGAACGCAAATGATCAGCGTGTTCTTCGATCGTCCGCGAGAACACAAAAATGTCGCCAATGTACACCATGACAAAGTTGAACTTGTCAAACAATCGATGCATAAGGCGAGACCAGATGCCTGGCATGCCTGCCATACCCATTGGGGCCACTACCCATTCATAAACATCGCGATGGATCCTGAAGGCGGTGTACTTCCTTGCTGATGGCATCACGAGCATTTGGTGGTAGCCAGACGCTAAGTCGATCTTCGTAAATACTCGGCATCCGTGCATGCGGTCAAACAGGTCTTCAATGTTGGGCAGCGGGATCTTTGGCACGATGGACTGAGAGTTGACATGGCGGTAATCCAACACCCATCGTATAGGAGTGTCGGGCGTGGCGGTACGAAGCCACTCACGGCGTGAAAGCATCTGACCATCATCACTACGCTTGGGAACACCGAAGATGTTGGACACACAGTCGCTGCTCGAGAGCTCGATCCAGCCCTATTGCAACAGATCGTCGACGAACGTGTCCAAAGAACCTTCTTCCACCTTGGACAATCGGAAAGGGGGTCGGTGCTGGGGTCTCGCGTCAGGCCTCATTGTCAAATCGAACTCAATCCCACGCGGCGATGGTAACGTGTTGAGTAACTTATCGGGAAACACGTCTCGAAATTCATCCACAACTCTGGCCACGAGCGGGTGTAACTTCTGCTGAGGTTCCGTTTTCGTTGTGACTTTGATCATCCATCCCTCGATTCGTTCAGGCTCGACTTCACTTGAGTATTACACCATGTTGTCGCAGTGTCAAGTGGAAATTAAATACTTCGAAGTAGATTCTCGTGCGAGGTGCAAAAACCACCGGGTGAGTTTTCGAAGAAACCAGGTGTCATTTGCAGGAATGCTCAAATGCACCAATCATCATAGAGGAATTACATCTTTTCAGCCAATCCAACGTCGTTTTAGTTTGGAAAGATATTGATTCGCAACATATGGTTCATTGTTCATTACCAGCCTTGTGTGTGCATGCGAT